ATAGATAGATAGATAGATAGATAGATAGATAGATAGATAGATAGATAGATAGATAGATAGATAGTTGTTAATCAGCACTATGTAGAGAGAGGGCTAGAACAGAAGTGAAGAAATCTACAAGCAGCATGAAACCTCCATGTTCATTAGAATATTTAATTTTGCATTCTGCTGCTCCAGTACCTATTAAACTTTTAACTTAATCTTAACTTTTACCATGAATTAGCCCTCAAACAGGAAAAAAATAAAATAAATCCAGAAGTCTGCAGTGTCCTTTTTTAAAGGTTTTCACAATAAACCATGAGGACATTTTAAAGCTTAAAACAACTGTTTGTGTTTTATGTGCAGGTTGTCTGGATGAGTCTGTACTATGGTAAACTTGTGTTTTCTGTAAACAAACAAAAATATATTCAGATGGTAAAACTCTCATCTGAATAACAAACCTACTGAACAGAAACTGTTGCAGCACGATCCTGTGTCTGGGACTGAAATGAACTAAAGTTCAGTGCRTTTATGGTGACGTTCATAATGTGARTCATTGACTTTTTGAATCAAAGCAGATCTTTGTGGTGCAAGAAAGACCCAGGTAGTGGATTCACACAAATCAGTGTGTCAGCAGAACACCTTGTWGGTTTGGATCTTTGTTGACAGTGAGCAGAATGGGAGCAGACGTATGATCTGGTTTTAATATAGAAAGTGGAGCATCAGCTGTGTTCCTGCGACTCCGCTCTGTGGGTTCAGACTGAGGTCAGGCTTTCTGAACTCAGCAGCCTTCTGTGTTTAATAAAATAAATATGTGTTTGTTCTCCAGATGACCTGCCGAAGAAGAAGCCCCCGGCTCTGTTTAAACCCACCAACCCAGACGGCCTGGCCTATCTGGACTTCAGCGTGTCCACGACCGGCATGCTGGCTGGAGTTCAGGTCAGTTTAACCCCGCCACCTCCTCACAGAACCATTCCTCAGCTGCTCTCCTCTCCTCCTTTCCTTTAGCAGTTCAGAGAGAGAACAGCTGTCAGAGCAGCAGAAAAACACACAGAGCTCCAAACAGACAAACCAGCTCTACTTTCTTAAAGATTCATTTTAATGTCTGTAGTTCTGATGTGAACTATTTTCTGTTTGTCTTTCTGTCGTCGTGTCTGCTTCTCCATCCTGTCCACTCTCCAGATGTCCCATAATGCAGTTGGAGCCTTCTGCCGCTCGGTGAAGCTGCAGTGTGAGCTGTACCCGTCCAGAGAGGTRGCCATCTGCCTGGATCCGTACTGCGGCCTCGGCTTTGTCCTCTGGTGTCTCTGCAGGTGCTCGCAGCTCYGACATTTATTTATACAGACATCAACACCATTAAATGTGTGTAGTTGTTGTTAAGAAGTCTCTCATGTGACTTACTGCTCYGCTTTATTTTAGCTGTAAGATTTGTAAGTTTAACTTTTGTAGCTCACTGTCCGAAACTCAGCAACATTTTAGCTTTAATTCTGGTTTCAGTTAGTTACAGTAAAACATCTGGAGTTAAAATCTACTTTAGTGAGAAAACTTCTTATGACTTTAAAGCAGCATTAAGTTATTTACTGTAAATTAGTTTGTTATAAAATTAGACCCATGACTTTGAATATTTTTTCTGGAAATGAATGATATAAATATTAGTTGTCATTGCTTTCATATAAGCAATAAACAAAGTGCTGAAACRCCATCACAACCGAAGGTGTCACAGAGTTTGTCTTCTTTTTTAAAATATAAATGCAGGAGCTCCTTCAGACACAAAAACATCCTTGTTTTTTGTRTTTTCTGCAGTGTTTATTCAGGCCATCAGTCCATCCTGATCCCTCCGGTGGAGCTTGAATCCAACCCTGCGCTGTGGCTGCTGGCTGTCAGCCAGCTGAGGGTGCGAGACACCTTCTGCTCCTACAGCGTCATGGAGCTCTGCACCAAAGGACTCGGCCTGCAGACTGAAGCACTGAAGGTCAGCGCGGCTCAAACACCACCGACACCTCGACTCGAGTGACACCTGTTCTTTCTGCKTGTGATCAGAACCTTGTTTTTACCTCTCAGGTTCCTGTGCAGTTGTAAAAACTTTGACATTTCAAAGTATTTAAACTTACGATTGCATTTTCTAAATAATAATTTAACTTTCTAAACTTGTCTTAAATAAGAAGAGAGTTTTTCATTTGTATACAAAACATGAGCACGATGTGCAGTTTTAGTAAATTTGCCACAGAATTAGTCATTTCAAACAGAGATAATTATTTGACGGACACCTCTATTCTAATATGTACAGTCCTGTGTATGACAACTGAAATTAGTTTTTAAAATCAAATTTAGTCAAATTTTAATTCTGGGATTCCAGGGTTTTATAAGATTYCAGCGTTAGATAACTAGGATGAYGTCATCATCCTGCAACAAATCTAAATTCAAAATGTGTTCACTAAAAACAGTATGAATGGTACTTGAGGTCCAGCAGTTTAAAGTTCAGCTCAGACACTAATGTGTTGTAGGGAAAGCATTAGCAGTAAGTAGCATTAGCAGTGTAAGCAGTATGATGAGGAAGCTCAGCTTGGAGACACAGCCCAGAGGAGGAGCTGATCCCAAAAGGTGGTTCTAGTCCCAACCAGTTGTTTTTGCTCCSCTGCCTGGCTGCCTCAGGACACTACAGGATTTCTCAAACATGAATGAGTCAAAGTAAGACTCTGGGCATGTTTTTGATGAGAGGATAACATTATAACATCATATAAATCTCAAAAAAGTTGATTTTACATKATATTGCCTCTTTAAACTTCTRATACTCACTCAGAACTGGTTCCACTGCAGCATTTTGACCCATTTTGTAGGCCTGTTTTGACAGAGGAATAAAAAAATTTCGCAGACTTGAATTCAAACTTGGAGTTGGGAGCACATCCGCCCACAGGCACTCACTTCCTTTTTATTAGCAAATCCCCAACATCATACAGAAAACAACACCTTTTCATTGGACAAGTAATCAATACATCACTTCCTCTAATCAGACTTATGGAAAATAAAAGCATACTCACACAACTGAGAGCAAATACAGTATATCTTAATACAATATATTTTCAAGTGTTGTCAGGGTTAGTGCTTAAAACTGAAACTGAAATTTTGCTGCTTTTCTAATTTGTTTGCTTTTCGTGAAGAAAAGGTTTTTATTTAGGAAAAAAAGTTCCTTTTTATTACCTGCTATATTAAAYAAATTTAATTTAAAAAAAGATCATTCTATATTAACTCAGATTATTTTGAGTTTCTTTATTTATCATCAGCTTTTTGAAAAGCCTGAAAGTTCAGCTTGAAAATGCTTGAATTACTTTGAGGAAGGTGTAGGATCCCTGTGACAGATTCCCACTCATCCTGCTGTAGTTGAGGGTTTTTTCTTTATGGGTGGCCATAGTCAAAATGTTCAGCATGACTTGTCTCTGTCCCTGAACACATTGTTGCAGGTGGACAGGTCCTGTCAGTAAATAAGTAAGTGTCAGATAAACCCACAGCCTCCGACTCAGTGTGAGTCTGGAGCTGTACCTCCAGCTTCATTGTCTGCAGGAGGTGTTCRTCCTCCAGCTCAGCACTAATAAATCTGTCTCCATCTGCTCAGCCGGGGGCCTCTTCTGACTGCTGGAYGCCTCTGATTGGTTACTGATGGAAGCCACTGAGTTAATTTTAGTGATTATGAGTCTTTAAGTCTCTATGGAGACTGAAGGGCCAGTAAGGAGAAGAAATGTGTTTTATCTTTGTTTTTATCAACAACACTTTCTATGCAGCTAAAAGAAAGCTGAACAGAGTCGTCTTCACAAGCTTAATAGGTTTTATTTACTCCATGCATCAAATGAGCAAAATCAGATTTAGTTGTTACTTCCTCTTTACAAARYACAAAAACAAACAAAAAAAWGTCMTTTTTTTTCTATGTATTTSCATTCAGACACAACTTATCTGATCAGAAGTTCTGATAACATTTTCCTGTTTCTCACCCAGGCTCGAGGTCTAGATCTGTCCAGAGTTCGGGCCTGTGTGGTGGTGGCAGAGGAGAGGCCCAGGATGGCACTCACACACTCCTTCTCGAAGCTCTTCAAAGACCTGGGCCTCCACCCGCGGTCCGTCAGCACCGCCTTTGGCTGCAGGGTCAACCTGGCCATCTGCCTGCAGGTGCAGTCATCTCAGACACAGACTGGGCACAACAAACCCAAAACCTTTGTCCTAACTTTTAGAAAACTGCTAAAAACAAATATATATAT